ATGAGAACGAAAGCTCAGTACAAGTTAGGAATGCTAAAATTTTCTACAAAATAATAGTTAGTGTAGTTAAGTCATTTTCTTCCAATCCAGCAAATATAAATTAATGAGATAAAGGAATAACAAACAACTCAAATTTTTTTCGAAAACTGAAATCACTATTAGGTACGTCTGTGAAATATGACTTTGGTGGTGGCTGCCTTCAGCACGCCAAAAGGTCAATAAGCATTAATTGAGACACAGAAGTCCTAATAGCGGCACAAACCTTGCGCAGAGGTTTGATTCATAAAACGAAATAAATTCTCTATCTGATGGAATTTTAACAGGCGAATTTACATCTGATTGAGAACAGAGGTGATTACAGCCAAGTCGGTATTTCCATGAAGCTGAATTTCGGAAAGTCAATTAAACTTAGACGTACCTTTTTGTTTGGAAGCAAGAGAGCGATGTAAAATGGAAGAATTGCAACCACATCAATGAGACTCATCACCGATCGAAAAAAAAGCCATCGGTTTGGAGCTGAATAAAGCCGTGCCAGGTACTCGACAGTAAAAATAAGGACACATGCTGAATCCAGGCAAAAAAACGCATCAGAAAAAACGTCCCCGATGGACTTTCTGGAAAGATCTGGGGAGACTTCGGGATATGGGATGGTCTCAATTATGTTTGCGAGAACCGACACAGCAATGAAAAATCCGGTCACGTAGTATATTACAAGTGAGACAGTTGAGTTCCCTGGATTCTCAAAGGAAGTCCACAATCTTTGCCTGAATGTTGTTGGGCCAGCACACCTCAGGTCGTCCAGAGACCTCCCCTCTCGAAGGCGCTCTGAGTGTTCACGGCGACAATCCTGGAAATGCTCGTAACAACATTCGCCCATACATTCCGTAGATATTCGAAAAAACTCCATCTCGTTTTCATAAGCAAGAAAACAATCCGATTTGGGAAAGTGAAGGAAACCATGCCGATAAAAATCGACAATGTATCGAAAAATTGCAGGATCGCGATCAAAGTAATATTCCTCATTCTCGTCATCAAAAAAATACTCTCGTTCTGATGAACCCAAAAGAGTGTTGGGATACTGATCTACAAAATAGCGGGGTATTTCAAATTTTACACCTGAAACGTTTATGCATAACTTTGAATTGCAGTATATCGTAGAAGGTAAGAGATCATTTGAGTCTTCAAATGAAAGTCTTGGTAGTGGATTTTTCGAAAGTGGCAACCATCCCAGCGCACTCGCACGGATAATCGGTAACCAAATGGGGAAGTTTTTATCTTTCCGTATCTGTTGCATTACGAACACGATAATCAATAAAAAATTTATAGGTAGTTCATATTCACTAGGCAAATGGAACGATGGACGGCTGCAAGCTCAAATACCTTCTCAGCCTAAAACCCAGCACCGTTCATGTAATATCGCGAGTAGATTAAATTTGAAGTCTTCGATCGCCCCAACTTTGTTAAAGTAGTCCGCTTAAACAAGCTTAAGTTCT